CTGGGCTGCTTCTCTGGCCCCTCTGGCTCTGGTTGCTACAGCTCTGCTCCCAGGACAGGTCTGCTCTGCAGGCTGCTTCTGTGACTCTGCTCCCAGCACTGACCTGCTTCGTGGGCTGCTTTTCTGGCCCCTCTGGCTCTGGTTGCTGCAGCTCTCCTCCCAGGGCAAGTCTGCTCTCTCTGGGCTGTGCCTCTGGCTTTGGGGCTGCAGCTGTGCTCCCAGCACAGGGTCTGATCTCTCTGGGCTGCTTTTCTGGTCCCTCTGGATCTGGCACAGCTCTGCTCCCCAGCTCAGCTTGGGTCCCTGCTCTCTCCTTAGGTCCGCCCCACTCTGTCTGACCCAGGCAATTCCAGCCCACACGGAGGACAGGACCTCCCTGGCCTCCTGACTCCTTGATTAGTCTGCCCGCCCTGTCATTCAGGCTAACCTGGAACATTGGCCTCTCCCATTGTTCCTAGGGCCTGTCAGTCTCAGGGTCCTGATTCCCCATCGACCCTTCCCCCTTTTAGTACTGGGAGCTAGCAACTAAAACACCCCCACTGAATGTTAGTAAGGGGGCAACAGTCCCCTTACATTAGGAAAAGGTAGATGTATGTAAGGTGTGGGCTCCAGTTGGGTGGATCTGCCACAATACATTTTCAGTAAGTGAAGAGGTCACCAGAAAGGAAGAAGTGGCTCTTGAAAAGAGCAGCTATTCAGCTCCATCCAAACTAAAAATGAAAACAAGTCCTTATCACCCAGCCAAGTGTTTTCTTAGGGTGGATGCTCACCCGGAAGCACCTGTGTAGAAAAGCATCGCCACCTCATGTGGGGGCACCCCACCCCCTTCTTTTGCAGCTATTGACAGGATATTAAAATCAACAGTCCCCCAAATCTTTTAATCGGGCACTATGCCATGCCAGATTGGCACTGACTTGGCAACACAAAGATTCCATCCCAGAGATGGGAGCTGCTTTCTTTCTTTCCCACGCTTTCCCCGCTGTAGAATGTGATTATCATGCCCAGTAGTACAATTATGACCTAGGGAGTTCCTGACTGCCAACGGGCAGAGGGCACCCCACACCATACAGTCCCTCACATCAGGCCTGATGCACGCATTGCCCCAACACACTGTTGTCATAATCTGTATTTAAGAGCTAAAAGGTGTGATGTAAGGCAGTGCTACTCAAAGTGGTGGTCCGGAAGCCATCAGCTGCCAGTCTGCGTGCACATTGGGGAAAAAAATTGCTGGTCCCCCACATCAGATAGCTTGAGAAGCACTGACGTAAGGTATCATCTGCAAACTGGTAACATGCTGGTCATTAATATTGTGTGATATATATACAGGCAGTGTATAAAGAACTATAGATGTCTGCTGGAAATACATTCTTAAAAGGTGTTTTGCAAACAATGCATAATGCCAGCCAGTCCTAGACAAAGGAATGCTATTGTGCCTGGTTTCCTGTGTCTCCAATGTAAACTGAATTAGGTAATATCTCTGAGGACAACGAAAAGTACATCTACATGGAATGTAAACAAAGGCATCAAGATAAACAAGTGGGGTAGGAGGAAGAAAGACAACTTAACCATCACAAATGAGGATGGAGCCTGCACCCCCAGGAAGCCTTAGTGGCTCTTGAAACAGATACACTTTGGAAAATGTAAGGTGAAACAGAAAGCCATTTTGGCATCTATCACCTAGGGGACAAAGAGGGAGCAGAACCCTATGAGCTCATGCAGAGTGGATCATCTTCGCTTGAAAACAAAGAGTAGCTGGAACTGACTATAGGGGAGAAACCTCCTTAGATAAAGATAACTTGCCAAAGTTAAGTTTTAGGCATTAGCAAGCATGTTTTGTTTTGTTGTGTGTACTTGTAACCATATCTCTGTCTTCTATTTTTACTTGTCACTTAAATATCTGTGCTTTGTTAATAGACTTATTCTTATTTTATTACAAAACCTTCTCAAAGTTGTGTAATAAAATGAAGGGTGAAGTCCCCAGCTAAACTAACAGGCTGATGTGTGCTCTGTCTCTTTGGAGGCAGCAAACTGAATAACTGTGAGTATCCACGGAGAGGGACTGGACAGTGGAGGGCAGATGGTTTGGGGGAGACTCAGGACTGGAAGGGCTGTTGGTGTTACCCTGCAAGGAGCAGCCAGGCTGGTGGAAGACAGAATCAGGCCATTGTGCTGTGAGCATGCTGCTAGTGAGCTGAAGCTGCACAGTGCAGAAGCACCAAGGGTTACAGGGCAGGCTGTGACAGAACGCCTGTTGATCTGTGTGAGCCCCCAAAGTGTCACAATGGCATTTTAGAGGTAGGACACTACTCGACTGATTACGAACTGTTTCACTCACGCCTAAAACGGGCCTCTGCTTTGCTTACTGCTGTAATTTGATCCAAATAATCCTTGTGGCTAAAATTTGAAGAAGCAGCTTCAGTGTCAGAGGCCTAGATTTTCAAAAGCAATCCATTTTCACAATGGGCAAACAAAACTACCAGGGCTTGTCTGTACAGAGGGTTTAAACCAGTATGGACCCAACAGTGCTTCACGCTGTTATGTTGGCACCCCTGAATACCCAGAGGCTGCTTGTGCTGTATCTCAAAGTCAAGCAGATGATGTGGCAGCGGCAGCAGCGGGAACTTCAGCAATGGCAGAAGAAGCAGAATAATGATAATGAGCAACTGCTGCTAGAGGAGCTGTTCCTGGACCGACTTCACCATTCAGTGTCATTTCTGGTCTCGGGAAACCAGCATTTTCTAAAGGATTGCTCTAAAGAACTGGTTAATGAAGCTGTTCACAGGCCACATGGACAGATAGCCTCAAGAGTTGCAGAATGAGGGGGAGTTGGGGGTGGGGGGAGAGAGGTTTGCATCCAGCAGTTTGAAAGAACAGTAGAATGTTTTCGGAATAGGTTGTAACCTGCAAGAAAAATAACAGGCCTAAGACTATAGCTGCATGTTGTATTTTGCACAATATTTGTGAAAGGAAGGAAGAAAGCCATGGTGAAAATCTTGGCCAATTTCTGTTGTTGAGAGGCACCAGTAAAGTAGGTTTATCTTTGGCAGACAGCACTGTTTGCAACTGGCACAAAGTGTGTTTGATAACACCAAGTCACCCTTCTGCTGCTGCTTCTTTTTTTCCCCCCCCTTTCTGTCCTTTAGGGGCAAACAGTTCAAGAGCTACATCTAACTTTGTATTATTTCTCATGGCAAGTCCTGAGGTTCTTAACCATTTGTCTCAACAAGGACAAGAACAACTTCTATAAAATAGGCCTTTAGTACTTTGTTTAGCTAGGATAGTTACCAACACCAGGAAAACACTCATGTTGGAACATTTTCTCCCTGCAAAGGTATACTCAAAGGCATTAGGGTGTCACTGTAGACAGCTCAAGGAGGACCCCTACTAGATATCCAGCTGTGGTCAACAAAAGCAAAGAAGATATTCAAATGGTAGAAAGCATAAGGAATAGGATAGCAAATAATCCAGAGTTAATGTCTTTTAGAAATCAGTGGTGTGGCCTCATCTGAAATTCCACGTGCAATACTGGTCACCCCATCTGAAAAAGGACATTGCAGAACTAGAAGAGGCCCAGAGAAGGGTGATGAAAATGATCAAATGTATTGAAAAACACGTATGAAGAGAAACTAAAAAATGTGGATCATCATCTTAGAAAGGAGATGAAAAGGGGGGACATGATAAAAGTATATAAAATAAGGAATAGTCTAGAGATAGTAGATTGGGAACTCCTGTTCTTCCTGTCTCATACAAAAGAAGAAGGGGGCATTTAATGAAACTGAAAACCAACAAAACCAAATGCTTTTGCACACAGCATGCAATTATACTGTGGAACTCACTGCCACAGGAAATCATTAAAATCAAGAATTTAGCAAGGTTCAATAAGGGATTGGACATTAATTTGGATAACAAGAATATCCAGAGTCATTAACAAAAATTGTGGAAGAGCTATGAAAGTTCATGCTTCAGAGTTTAAGACTCTCTGACTATTAGAAACAGGATGAGACCTAATATAGGGCAGATTATCCCACATCTGCTTACAGCTGCATTCTTATACCTTTCTCTGAAATATCTGGTACAGGCCACTGTCAGAGACAGGTCACTGAACTAGATGGACCTAGAGCTTAAATCCAGAATGGCAATTCATATGGTCCTACAATACTGTTTGATGATCTGGGTGTGGTCTGAGAATGGAACCTGAGGAATCCACTTCCAGAGCTGTTTTTTTTCTCAGTACCTCACACAATCATAGGTGTTCCTCACCCAGAACCAATCTATCACCACAGTGTGTTGGAGATGCTCCAGTTATGACAGTTCAGACTTTCATTCTGAATCTCTATTTAAGAGCACTTAAACTTTCCAAAAAATTACCTTTATGAACATGCTTAACTTTATGCATTGAAAATAGGCCTATTGAAGTCATATGGCAAATGTACTAGTGGATACGGTGCTTACTTTTGTGAAGTCAGTAGTAACCCCTACACTTGATAGTGATGGTAGGATCAGGCCCTAAATACTCACTATATAGACCAGGGGTCTCAAACACGGGTCAGGGATGTGCAGCCCACCATAGGCACCGACTCCACTAGCAGCCAAGCTCCCCTCACCCCCGGCCCTCCCTCCTCCCGAGCGCACCGCGTCCCCCGCTCCTCCACCTACCTCCCAGCACACTTAGGACTTTCCAGGAGGGAGGAGCGGGGACGCAGCACGCTCGGGGAGGAGGTGGAGAAGAGGCGGGGCTGGGGAGGGGATTTAGGGAAGATGTTGGAATGGGGGTGAAGGTGGTGAGGAAAGAGGCAGGGCCTCATGGACTAGACAAGCAGTCTGAGGTATGAAGTTCAGCATGTATGGTTCTTTGCTGTGAATAGTTGGGAAGAATGTTTGTTAAAAGTGGCAATGTGTTTTGTATGAATAGTTACATTAAAAAGTTCCTGCCGTTACAGCTATGTTGATAGACTGTTAGTGTAGATCATTATCAGTGTTACTGACCACATAAGGAATAGTTACAGGTGTTTATATTTTATTAAAACCCCTCTTTGCATTACAGTTTTTAAAAAGTTAATACATTGACTTTTAATAGCATACTATATTACTCTTATTTTTTGCTATACTTTTGTATCATCGTATGAAAAGGTTTCAGTGATGCGGCCCTCGGGCCAACATACTAGTCCTCATGTGGCCCTTGTGGTGATTTGAGTTTGAGATCCCTGATATAAACAAAGTATACAGGCAATAGAATGTATAAAAAATAGCTGTTTAATACACATTTTATTCCACTATATTTGAAGATTCGGCTTTGCTTGGTTTGACAATATTTATTTTTAGTCCATGTTCTTTAGTGGAAGATTAGAGCTTGTAGGGCTCCAAAAGGAAGTGTGTTTTCAACTTGCCATGAAGATAGTCCTCACTGAGGTTCAGTGTACTTTAACATGGCTGCAGAAAATTAATTTAGAAATAAGTTATTAGAGCTACCAACATTTTTCAAAATTAGATTTTTCAATTAGGTTTTTCAACAAAATTTTGAGACAAAAAGACAGGTGAATTTTTATTATGCTTTCCCACCATCTGTAGAGCAGAATGAAATTGCCATCCGTCATGCTGTAAATTATTGCCCTATAAAAAGGGTTAATCGTGTGCATGCCAGATCCTCTCCACCCTGGCCAACTTTCTCTCTCTTCCACTAAATATTATTGTGGTGCTGCTAAACCAGCTAACTTGTATATGACCAGAACAATTTAACAAGAGGCATTGCAATTGTAATCAAAACAATCTACTTACGTATGGGTATCAAAGAAATGTTAATTAAGCTAGCAATCCCCAACTCATTCACTTTTTATTAATAAGAATCAAACAATAGTTGCTAAGTGTTTTTGTCTGTGTTTACCTATATCCTGTTAGTTTACCAGTGTGACCAAATTAGCTTTTGGATGCTAAATCCATTCCATGTCTTAATTGTGTTCAGTTAACCTTAAGATCAAAGAGGTGAGATACTGTAGGAAACTAATATTATCTACAGGTTTCAGAGTAGCAGCCGTGTTAGTCTGTATTCGCAAAAAGAAAAGGAGTACTAGTGGCACCTTAGAGACTAACCAATTTATTTGAGCATAAGCTTTCGTGAGCTACAGCTCACTTCATCGGATGCATTCAGTGGATATTATCTACAGCTTAACTCTGTTCTAATGCCTAATTGCCTTATGCAAATAAGTGTAACTAGATTTCCTGTGTATGGATAGGAAATTGAATGTTAACTTCAAAGTGGTGGGTTCCTGTGTGCTCAGAGAAGAATCCTGTCACATGCTGTGCTCAAAACACTTAACTGCCTGCTTCAGCTATAAGAAAAGGAGTACTTGTGGCACCTTAGAGACTAACAAATTTATTTGAGCATAAGCTTTCGTGAGCTACAGCTCACTTCATCGGATCCATGGATGGATCCGATGAAGTGAGCTGTAGCTCACAAAAGCTTATGCTCAAATAAATTTGTTAGTCTCTAAGGTGCCACAGGTACTCCTTTTCTTTTTGCGGATAGAGACTAACACAGCTGCTACTCTGAAACCTAGCTTAAATATGCAATTCAAATTTTGTATGCATTGGTGTCTCTATGACAGTGGTCACCCAATATGATAAACTAGGGCAGTACATGAATCTGCAAAGTAACGAATGTGAACTCAAGATATAATGTGCAACAGATATTTTAAAGGGGTAAAATATCACAGGAATAATAAAATAGACATTAGGTCAGTTTCGGAGCTGTCTGGAGATGTTCTTCCCACTCCTACATCCATATCCTTAAAGGTCCCAGATTACTCAAATCTTCAGTGACATAACTAAGAGAGGCATCCAGAAGTATTGGCCATTGATATTAATGATTAAAGCCCGGGGAGAAAGGGGAAAAAAAAAAAAAGGACCTGGAGGTGAAAAAGGGAACCAAAGCCTTTCAAGGAGATTTGAGTTTGAGAAGCACCTACAGCTTTATCATCTGGATGTTCATGCTGCTTGTGGAGTTTACACATCACTAATGTGTGAGAATTCACTAGCCACAGTGAATTTGAGGGTTTTTTTTTTATATACAGTATATGGAAAACCATCAATACATTGTAAAAAGTATCAAAAATATGCTCAAACAGTCCAAAAGGTTTATTTTAAATTTTCAGTTAATCCTAATATTCCTGACCGCATTATCCAGATTCCTCTCCACCAACGACACAGTGAAAGTACAATTAGAAAGGCAAAAATTGACACTAGCCATCTATCTATTCTTCAAAGTTATAGGGACTGCCAAAGATGGGTGCAAGTAGATATTTAATAACCTAAAATTATGGCTGGACATTTTTGTTCTGAGCAGTTTGATCTCTATATGCTTTTACTGTAAAAGCCATATGTATAAATTGAGATTTAACGTATTGGAGCTAAAAATATGTTGTGACATAACCTCTGTCTATTTAGGATTTCACTAGTGTGTTGCTGAAGTTGAGATATACATTGGTTACATTTTGCCTTAGTTATGAAAACCAGGTAAATAATATAGGTAAATAATCTGAGTTCCTCCTTTGAGGAGTTAGTGGTAGATGGGGAAATACTATGTGAAAGTTCGAAAATACATTTTTAAACCAGCAAAACTGGTTGCTTCATATATTGAACAAAGCAATACATTTTTCATTCAAGTATTTCTTCATATGTGCTTAGGATTTATGATAAATTTTAAGAACATAAGAATGGCCATACTGGGTCAGACCAAAGGTCCATCCAGCCCAGTATCCTGTCTACTGACAGGGGCCAATGCCAGGTGCCCCAGAGGGAGTGAACTTAACAGGTAACGATCAAGCGATTTCTCTCCTGCCACACATCTCCACTCTCTGACAAACAGAGGCTCGGGACACCATTCCTTGCCCATCCTGGCTAAGAGCCATTAATGGACTTAACCTCCATGAATTTATCCAGTTCTCTTTTAAACCCTGTTATAGTCCTAGCCTTCAAAACGTCCTCAGGCAAGGAGTTCCACAGGTTGACTGTGGGCTGAGTGAAGAACTTTCTTTTATTTGTTTTAAACCTGTTACCCACTAATTTCATTTGGTGGCCCCTAGTTCTTATATTATGGGAACAAGTAAATAACTTTTCCTTATTCACTTTCTCCACACCACTCATGATTTTAAATACCTCTATCATATCCCCCCTTAGTTTCCTCTTTTCCAAGCTGAAAAGTCCTAGCCTCTTTAATCTCTCCACATATGGGACCCATTCCAAACCCCTAATAATTTTAATTGCCCTTTTCTGAACCTTTTCTAATGCCAGTATATCTTTTCTGAGATGTGGGGACGATATCTGTACGCAGTATTCAAGATGTGGCTGTACCATGGATTTATATAAGGGCAGTAAGATATTCTCTATCCCTTTTTTAATGATTCCTAACATCCCGTTTGCCTTTTTGACTGCCGCTTGTTCCTTTCTACTTCAAACTACAGCCTACATTCTTTAACACCTGGAAAGCAAATTGAATTAAAAAATTATAATTATGGATCAAGTTGAATTCTGAAAATTATGATTAATTACATTTGTGTTACAGTCATACAAGATATAAAGGGAGATACTCTGCCACTAGGGATCTACTTAATCTCAGTTTTAGGGATATATGCAAATAATATTGAAATTAGTAATATGCCACCTCTTCACTTCCTACTCCATGTTGCATAAATCGAACAATTAAAAAGTTTACTGTATCCCAAATTATACCTTGTTTTACATGATACTTTTTCTCCTTTGTTTACAAAATAGGGGATTCAAATTGCCAACAGACATATTGAAAAGGGATATAATTTAATCTACCACAGAGTTGAAGAATCTGGCAAATAGGTGTGGCTCTTGTGTCCTAGATGTAGATGGAATACCTATTAAAGCCCCTGTCCTGCAACACACACATGCTTAACTTTATTAGCATGAGTAGTCCTATTGACTTCAAACAGAATTACTCAGGCTAGTGAAGTTAAGCACATACTTAAGTGTTTATTCAATTTGGCAGCAATTCTGCAAAGGTGAATGGTACTTAGATAAAATATACTCTAACATGGACTTGAAAATGAAGGAACTAATTCCGATCTCACTTACGCTTCAGTAAATAAGAAGCAACTTTGCTTAAATCGATGTATCTACACCAGTTTGAGAATCATCAGCTCCACAAAATCCAGTACTATATCATACTCTGAAAATTTGGAATAAGCTTCACAAAAATGATCCACATAAAAGTTTACATGTGAACATCTGAAATTACAAAAAGAAAAATAGTGAAAAATGTTCGAGAACTATTGGAACAGCAAAGGATACTAAACATTTGATTTATGCTTGTAACAATTTTTGTTTTTTCTGCAGCTGCAAAATAAAAACAATCTGGATGCAGAAGAGAGGACCAGCTGCAATTAAAGCTGTTTGCTAGGATTAGTGAGCTCATTTCTAACATCTCAAAGAATCCAATGTCAAATTGGATTTAAAAATAACCCTTCCAAAACACATTTAGTATCTTACCTCGGAAGCCTGATAATCAGACCTTGACACAACTCCTCATAATACAATATTGTTATGAGCAAGAATAAGATACCACCTACTATGCTATAAAGGAAACAGTTTGCAGTGTTATCTGTTCTTCAGCTGGAAAAACTGGACGCCAACCTTCAATTAACATTTTAAAATTCTGGACACAAAATTGTTCCTGGCAGTGCTTGAAATCTACAGGAACGTATGCACGTTTTGGGATTGTGCTCAGGTGAAAGCATATTGGGAAACTATATTTGCTTAAACACCACATTTTTAAAGGTAAACATGGAAATATTAGCTTGTGTATTGAGCCTCTCCCACACACAGCTCAAAGGGAGATTTAAAATGCTCAGGTTTATTCATTGCTAAGAAGATACTATAGACACTGGAAATATATCACGAATTACTGTACCTGAATAGACATGGCCCTCTAAAATGCACTTCTTATAAGAGACTTTTCTTGGACACATCTAATAAAAGCAATGATTTTTTTCTAAAATACTTAAAGTCAAAAATTTTGAAAATTCCTTCTCTCTCCCACCTACACTTTACCTTTGTTTTGCCTATCCCATCCCACTCTTTTCCATCTTCACTTTAGTTTCCTTTACTTCAGCCATATAATTACATTATGGTTGTGCTATCCTCCTGCAGGAGTAAATGTCTCTCTATTTTCTCAGCTGTTTGTGCATGCATTAGTTACATTTTGGAGGAAGGAGGCAATATTGAATTCAAATCTGTATTTTAAAAATACTTCAGCTTCAAAATACACTTAAAACAATGTGTAAATGAAAGGAATACCCAGAAAATATATCACAAAAAAAGAGTATGTGTAGCCTCCGTTTCTATTATACTCTGGCCAGTCAACAGCAAGCATACAACAAAAAGATTGTTTTAATATTTACCGCAACATTAAAATATATTCCAATATGTCTCAATGCTTTGTGGAGCTACTGTATTATCAGAAGGTGAGTGCCTTGTGTACTACAAGTACAATGTAGCTATTCTAATAGCAGAACTAAAGGGCATTACAGAACTAGGGAAAAGCAGGTGTGTGTGGTGAGATAAGCCTGGATGCACTCAAACTTGATGCATCATTAATGAAGTGCAACTTAGGCGAACACTTTAGGGAGAAACCGGAACTTGAGATAATCTGCCCTTCCTTTCTTTTCAGTTTTTACAAAAAAAAAACCAAAACCCAGAAGTCTTTGTTTTTGCCACTGCCCTCAAAAAGAGGTATTCAAACAGTCATTTTTATTCTAGAATAAGAAAATTTCAGTTAACTGAGCACATAATAGACAAAGGAATGGAGAAAATGGAACTACAATAGACACTTGCTTTATAATTTTGTTGAAACAGACATACCATATAATGAATGTCCTACCACTGTCAACAATGATTCATTCTTGCAGGCTATGCACACATATTCCCTTACTGGATCATGGTTCTTTTGCTATGAGGCCAAAGTTTGATTGATAAATATGAACTTTCCTTCCTGGACTACAATGGAGCGGCTGCAGCAAGAGGCCTCTGCTTCAGAAAAGTTATTGGCAATTAAACCTGAATTCTTTCCCATCTCCCTTTGCTGCAAAGCAACATTTTTACTCCACCTCCAAATACATTAGTATTCAGTTGCCAAAAAAGAGCAATTATTTATACTGGATGGAGTTACTGTATATTAGCAGATCTTATATTTTGTATTTCTGTGGTTGTTTGCCATAACCTTGATAGTAAAGACCTACATTCACTATATTCCTGCTAACTCTACCCCCTTTTATTACTGCTTTGCCAGTGACCATGAAGACACCCCCTTACTAAATGAAGGCATCGCTGTTATTCATTCCTCAGCCGAAAGACACTAGTTCCATCCAGCACAGAAACACAATGTATTTCAAACTGGTAGTAAGGAATCACCCTCATTATACCACTTTGTTTCTCCTTCAGAGTCCCAAACTCTGAACAATACACATTGTCCCTCTATTCAAGTCTATGACTCCCTTCATCTGGAAAGGTGGATGTTTTTCTCCTTCATAGAAAAGCAGGAGAGTGAGTTTGTGTGTGTATGGAGGTGGGGGGGATGTGAGAAAACCTGGATTTATGCAGGAAATAGCCTGACTTGATTATGTAAAGAGTTGTCACTTTGGATGGGCTAGCACCAGCAGGAGAGTGAATTTGTGTGGGGGGGTGGAGGGTGAGAAAACCTGGATTTGTGCTGGAAATGGCCCACCTGATGATCACTTTAGATAAGCTATTACCAGCAGGACAGTGGGGTGGGAGGAGGTATTGTTTCATATTCTCTGTGTATATATAAAGTCTGCTGCAGTTTCCACGGTATACATCTGATGAAGTGAGCTGTAGCTCACGAAAGCTCATGCTCAAATAAATTGGTTAGTCTCTAAGGTGCCACAAGTACTCCTTTTCTTTTTGTGAATAAAAGAAGAGGACTACTTGTGGCACCTTAGAGACTAACAAATTTATCTGAGCATAAGCTTTCGTGAGCTACAGCTCACTTCATTGGATGCATTTGGTGGAAAATACAGCGGGGAGATTTATATACACAGAGAACATGAAACAATGGGTGTTACCATAACCAGAGTGATCACTTAAGGTGAGCTATTACCAGCGCGGGTGTGGGGGAGAGAAGGGATAGAACTTTTGTAGTGATAATCAAGGTGGGCCACTTCCAGCAGTTGACAAGAAGTCTGAGGAACAATCTTGTAATAAAATACTTAAAATGCTCTCAAAAGACAAAATACACAGTCCACTACACAGAAGTATTTGTATCTCTGTACTGCTTTGCAGCTGAAAGACAGGTAACTTTCATCCTAAAATTTAAACTCCAACCCTAAATGATTTGGCAGAACTATATTCTTGACAGTCTTCTGAATGCAGCAACCTCACAATTTGAATTAATCTCTTTGCAGTACCTTAGTACCCCAAAGAATGTCTCCATTCAGACAGAGGCCCTATTTTAACTGGGTTTCAGCCACAACATGTAGGGCAGAGGTGGCCAAACTATGGCCCGCAGAACCCTCCTGCACGGCCCCTGAGCTCCTGGCCTGGGAGGCTAGCCCCTTCCCTGCAGCGTCAGTTCACTGTGCCGTTGGCGCAGTGCTCTGGGCAGCGAGGCTGCGAGCTCCTGGAGCAAGATAGGAATTAACGGTCAGTTTTCACAATGGAGAAAAGTAAATAGCTGGGTGCCCACAGGACCTGTACTGGGACCAGGACTGTTCAACATTCATAAATGATCAGGAAAAAGGAGTAAACAGTGAGGTGGCAAAATATGCAGATGATACAAAATTACACAAGATAGTTAAGTTCAAAGCAGACTGTGAAGAGTCACAAAGGGATCTCACAAAACTGGGTGACTGGGCAACAAAATGGCAGATGAAATTCAGTGTTGATAAATGCAAAGTAATGCACCTTGGAAAACAATCCCAACTATACATACAATATGATGGGGACTAAATTAGCTGCCAGCACTCAAGAAAAATCTTGGAGCCACTGTGGATAGTTTTCTAAAAACACTCACTCAATGTGCAGCAGCAGTCAAAAAAAGCTAACAATGTTAGGAACCTTTACAAAAGAGTTAAACAGAAAATATCATGCCACTATATAAATCTATTGTACGCCCACATCTTGAATTCTGTGTGCAGTTCTGGACACCTTACCTGTAGCTGACCTATCCATCCTCATTCTTAAAGGAAACCTGCACAACACTTTCTAAAGACGAGCCTGGGAGCTTAAAATCATTACTCCGCTAGCCACTACAAATTGTGGATCGAACAGAGACACTGGATTTATAGCTTATTGCAACAATCTGTAACGGACTAACTCCTTTGTCCTTTGATTACAGAAATGTTAACGGGCTACTCTATCTTGAATAGTCCCTTAATAATATGTGCTACTTATGCTAAACAATCTGTTCGACTTTCCATTTTGCTGTGATGCTGGGAGTACCTTTCCCAGACTCGAAGAGCTCTGTGTAGCTCGAAAGCTTGTCTCTCTCCCCAACAGAAGTTGGTTCAAATAGAAGATATTATCTCACCCACCTTGTCCATCTCAAAAAAGATATAGTAGAATTGGAAAAAGCACAGAGAAGGGCAACAAAAATGAATAGGGATATGGAACAGCTCCCATCCGAGGAGAGATTAAAAAGACTTGGACTGCTCAGCTTGGAAAAGAGATGGCTGATGGGGGATGTGATAAAGGTCTATAAATCATGAATCGTGTGGCAAAAATAAGTGTTATTTACCCCTTCACATAGCACATGAAGCAGGGGTCACCCAATGAAATTAATAGGCAGCAAGTTTAAAACATAAGGAAGTACTTCTTCACACAATGCACAGTCAACCTGCGGAACTCTTCGCCAGAAGGTGTTGTGAAGGCAAAAAGTATAACAGGATTTAAAAAAAATTAGGCAAATTCATGGAAGCATAGCCCATCAAAGGCTATTAGCCAAGATGGTCAGCGACAAAACGCCATGCTCTGGGTGTCCCTAAACCTCCGACTACTAGAAGCTGGGACAGGAGGACAGGGGATGGATCACTCAAATTGCCCTGTTCTGTTCACTCCCTCTGGCACAAACCATGGTCAGAAGACAGGATACTGGGCTAGATGGACCATTGGACCAAACTACCAGAACAGCCACCTGACAGCTGCCATTACTATGCATCTTGTCTGAATTCAAACAGATTAAGAAGTCATCTTAATACTAGTGCCTTGAACCATCCAGTTTATACTATCTTTCAGCAATCTCAGTGTTTCTGGAGTCAGCTACTTTCAATGGCTAGGCGGCTGGATGTCTTCTATTTTTGTTTCTAAGGCACACTTTTTTTTTTTTTAAAAAACAAAGATCCTTGCTTCATATGCAGATTTAATATGGCCAAAAACCTTTGTTAATTTTTTAAGTTATTCATCATAAAAGCATATCCCCCACCTTAGAATGCTACTGATGAGAGGGTCTTCATGCTTCTTCAGGGTGGTTGCACACACTTCTTGGTGGAAGCACATATCTTATGGCTTGCACCTACTGGTAATTCCTTTATGGTGGTTGGAAAAGAGACATCGGATATTAAACTAGCATCACATAAAAAGAGCCAAAAACTACCAGCTTTTCTATACTGTAAATTGCTTTTACTAAATAAATCAAATAGTTCTCATATGTATTTTTCATAACAACTTCTATATACAAAAAACATAGAAGAATAAAGCTTTAAGTAGCAGTTTTACAGACTATGTCACCATAATCATTGTTTTGAAT